ACCGGTGTCGGCAGCCAGGAGAAGGGAAGGCCTATTGCACAAATCTCTTCGTGCAACAGGCCTCTAATATATATATACATATATATATATACATATATATATACGTATATATATATGTATATATACGTGTATATATATATATATATGTATATTTCAGACTTCTTGTGATGCTTATTTCATTAATTTTTGGCTTTTCTAATATAAATAAGGTAGATATAACTTTCCCTCTAAGTACTGTTTAAACTGCATTTGGTAAGTTTAGATAGTGAAAGTTTTACTTATTATTTACTTCTAAATATTTTCTAATTTCCTTTATAATTTCTTCTTCAAGCTAAGGTAATTTAGAAGTATATCCTTAATTTTTAACACATAGGGACAGTATAATTCTCATTTTATTAGTGATTTCCAGTTGGGTTGCATTGTGGTCAAATAATATAATCTACATAAATTCAATAATTTCAATAAGTTTTGAGACTTACATTTTGGTCTAGAACATGGTCAGTTTTTGTAAAAATAATGTGTATGCTGTGTATGATCTTATATATGACCATTAAATCAAATTTGTTAATCACATTTGACAAATCTTCTATGTTAAATCTTCTATGTTCATAGTGACTTTTTAAAAAATATATATTTTATTGATTTTTTTTACAGAGAGGAAGGGAGAGTGATAGAGAGTTAGAAACATTGATGAGAGAGAAACATCGATCATCTGCCTCCTGCACACCTCCTACTGGAAATGTGCCTGCAACCAAGGTACATGCTCTTGACCAGAATCGAACCTGGGACCTTTCAGTCCACAGGCCAATGCTCTATCCACTGAGCCAAACCAGTTAGGGCCATAGTGACTTTTGATCTGCTTATGCTATCAGTTACCAAGAAAAGTTCAACATAATTGCTGATTCTTGTTGTATTTCTGTCCAGGTTTCTTTTATGTAATTTAAGGTTATGTTTATGTAAGCTAAAAAAAACATTCTTTTAATCCTTACCTGAAGATACATTTTTATTGATTTTTAGAGAGAAAGGAAGGGAGGAGGGGAAAAGAGAGAGAGAGAAAGAAAGAAGAAATGAAATGAAAGGAAGGAAGGAAGGAAGAAAGAAAGAAAGAACAAAAGAAAGAAAAAGAAAGAAAGAAAGAAAGGAAGAAAGAAAGAAAGAAAGAAAGAAAGAAAGAAAGAAAGAAAGAAAGAGAGAGAAAGAAAACTGATACTCCCATACATGCTGCAATCTGAGATTGAACTCCCAACCTATGTTTGTGCCCCTACTGGGAATTGAACCCATAACCTTTTTGGTGTATGGGGGATGCTTCAACCAACTGAGCCACCTCATTAGGTCTGTAAGCTAAATTTTACATATTGTTCTGTTGAGTTGAATCTTTTTAAATGAAGTTACCTTCCTTATACCTAATTATATGTATATTTTGCTATAAATTCTTTTTTAAAAAAACATCTATATATGTGCAGGAAAGGGTTAACTCAGCAGGCCTGTGTGGTCAAACTATACATTCCCCAAATTGGCCTGTTTTTAGTACTGGCCCATGACTGCCTCCTGGAGGATAAACTGGGAGTATTTTTCCTGATAAGTGTTTTTGTGTGCCTGAGGCCTTGGGACACACTGTATTAGTTTGATCTCTTGAGGGTTGGAGATTGAGTAGTTAAGATCAGTCATGTGAGTGCTTCATAACTAACCCCCAATAAAAACTCTGGACCCCAAGGATTGGGTGAGCTTCCCTGGTTGACAACACTTTGCATGTAATTGTTAATACCGTTGCTAGGCGAATTAAGCATGTTCCCATATGACTTCACTATGAGGAGACCCATGGAAGCTTGTACCTGGTTGCTCTGGGGCTCTATCCGATTTGCCTTTTCCCTTTGTTGATTTCAATCTGTATTCTTTCACTGTAATAAACTATGAGTATTACAACTTTTCTGAGTCCTGTGAGTCCTTTTAGTGAATCATCAAGCCCGACTGTGATCTTGGGGGCCCTCAACACAGTATATATACCCTTTTCCATGCTTTTACTTTCAACCTTCTTATATACTTGAGATTTTATCTTTAACACTTCATATGTGTTTATTGTTGACAGCATATGGTTGGATTCCTTGCTTCCTTTCTTATCCAGTTTGATAACCTTTTTTTTTTTAAAGTAAAGCAGTCAGTCTATTTATACATACACATATATGTATATAAAAGCCTAAGCAACCGTTACGGCAGAATGACCAGTTGCTATGATGCACACTGACCACCAGGGAACAAATGCTCAATGCAGGAGCTCCCCACTGGTGGTCAGTGTGCTCCCATAGGGGGAGTGCCACTCAGCCAGAAGCTCTGAGCCAGGCTTACAGCTGGCGAGCACAGCGGTGGTAGTGGGAGCCTCTCCTGCCTCTTTGGCAGCGCTAAGGAGCAGTGACCTGAGCAGTATGGAGCAGTGAGAAGGTGGGCGGTAAGGAGCAAGGGGTCCCAGACTGTGAGAGAGTGCAGGCTGGGCTGAGGGACCCCCACCCCCACTGCACATATTTTGTGCACTGGGCCTCTAGTGTGTGTGTGTATGTGTGTGTGTATATGTGTGTGTGTGTGTATATATATATATATCCTATCTAATAATAGACAAATATGGTAATTGACCATACCTTTGCTACGCCTCCCATTGGCTAATCAGTGTGATATGCAAATTAACCGCCAACAAAGATGGCGGCTAATTTGCATACTGCAGGTAGGGCGGGACAGCGCCATCCCGCCTGCCCCGCTGCCATCTGGGCCTGCTATCTGCGACCCGGGGCAGCGGGCGTCCGTGTGGGACCCAACATGGGGCGGCGCCCCAACCCCCGGATCGGCCCTGCTGTGTGCATGACCTGGGGAGGCGGGGCAGGCACCGAGGGATCGGGCCTGCCATCTGCCACCCAGGGAGCGGGCCTAAGCCAGCAGGTGGTTATCTCCCGAGGGGTCCCAGACTGTGAGAGGGCACAAGTGGGGCTGAGGGACACCTCCCCACCCCCCTCCCCTGCCAGTGCACAAATTTTTGTGCACCGGGCCTCTAGTATATATATATTATATATATATATATTTGTGTTTATATACATCCTCTTATTTTTTATTTTCTACTTATCCTAGGTGTTTGGTATTTTCTTTTTAAGCTTTATTTTGGATTGATTTTTGTTTTGTTTTCATTTTTTAAAGTTTTTAAAAAAAATCTATTTTTTATTGATTTCAAAGAGAAAGGGAGTGGGAAAGATAGAAACATCAATGATAAGAGAGAATCATTGATCAGTTGCCTTCTGCATGTCCCCTCCTGGGGACCGAGCCCACATCCTGGGCCTGTGCCCTGATGGGGAATTGAACTGTGACCTCCTGGTTCATAGTTTGACTCTCAACCACTGGATTAAGTTTACTTTTTATTGTTGACATTATTACAGATGTCCTCTATTTTCCTCCCACTTCCCTCCTCCACCCAGCTCCTGCCCACCTCAGGCCCTCACCACACTGGATTGATTTTTTAAAGTCATTTTATTTTTCTCTGTCTGCTACTTTGGTATAATATCTCTGGTTTCATTTAGTGGTTACTCTAGAAATTACAATGCATTAGCTTAACTGTCAAAATCTAGGATTAATAACTTTACCATCCTCCTACTCTAGCTGGATAGCTTCTGTTTACCTGTCCATAGCCTATTTCCTCCCTTCCTCTCTCTGCTCTGTGCCTCAGGAGATTGATCCGTATAGATTGATCAACTGGCCCCCTTCCCTCTGGTTGGGTATTTATTTCCCCAACTCCCTCTGCTAGGTCACAATGCGTGGGCTGGGACGCTACCCAAGTCTGGGGTACCTGTCAGTTGGCCTATTCCTTAGAGCTACCCCATTTGGTTCCTGCATCTGTTCTCACCTCTTTTCCTTTGGGCCTAGAGGTGGTGCTGGCTCCCTACTATTGGTTTCCTTAAACCCTGTCCACAGCTTTGTAAATGATACTTTTATGAAACCCTTCTCAAATTACTCAGTTTAAAAGTTTGTTTCTTCCTAGGATTCTGACTGAGACATAGACAGTATATGAACCTAACGTAGTCTAACTCTGTTTACTCCCTTCCAACTTATATGTCATCTTATTTATTATTTTTTAAATTATGAATTCTTTCATTGATGTTACAATGAATCAAAGCCAAAGTCCTACTCACACCTAGTATATTGTAAGATTTAATTGAGAAATGTAATATATATACAAAAAGTAATAAAATATAAATGTAGAGTTTAAGTATTTTAAAACCAATGCCTATATAACTATGACCCAGGTCAAGAAACAAGTGGGAAAAATGAGACAAGGAAGAAAAAAAGTCAATATTATTGTGAAGGTTATCACTGTGAGTGACAGGGTCTCATTCTTTTTTTTTTTTTTATTGATTTCAGAGAAGAAGGGAAAGGGAAAGATAGAAACATCAATGATGAGACAAAATCATTGATCGGCTGCCTCCTACACGCCCCACACCAGGGATTGAGCCAGCAACCTGGGAATGTGCCCTGACCTGGAATCAAACTGTGACCTCCTGGTTCATAGGTTGATGCTCAACCACTGAGCCACACAGGCCTGGCCAGAGTCTCATTCTTGCCTGACACTCTGAAAAACCAACTGGGGAGGCTCAGCATTGATTCATCCATTCCATTCCTCTGTTGGAGAAGGTTGCCTCTCCTCACATTAACTCCCTTGTATTTCTGAGTTGTTTCTGTGTACATCCAAGCAATCTCCCATGGTGCTGGGAGATGCAGGTGCTTGAGAAAGTCAGTGTGACAGGAATTGCCCGCAGCTACAAATGAGCTCAGTCTACACCCTTTCTAAATTCCCTTCACCCTTGGTCAGCAAGTCCTCTGGTCTAGGTTGCTCATCCCTCATGGAATGGCCCAGACTTTCATCCCTGAGAACTCTGATCTCCTGGTAACCATGCTCTCTCAGACCATGGTTCCTAATTACCAAGGTGGGCAAGGGCTGAAGAAAAGTGACAACATTAATGACAGTTTCATGCTGTAAACTTTCTTTTCTGATGTTCTTTATTGTTTCATACTCTGATTATGTTGAACTTAAAGTGTGTATTTGAAGCACAGGCTCATCATGTATAGAGGTGTCCCAACATGGTGGCCCCAGAGCCACAGGGCGCTTCTACAATGAGAGGCAAGCCCGAGCTCTGAGCTCATGTCCTTCAGAGGCGGGGTGAGAAGCCGGCCACCACAATGCTCTCACCGGTGATGTAGCTGGCATCTGGAGAGCAGAGGAAGGACACCAGCCCCGAACAGTCCTCAGGCTGACCCACTCTGTATGGAAAGAGGAGGTGGGCTGAGAGTGATGATGCTTCCCATGAACCCTGGGCTCCTGTCAGATGCTGGGAAGTCAAGACCCCTATGGTCATGAGAGAAAGGCTGCAAGTGGAGATATGTGGGCTCTACAGGGACTTTTACTCACCCCAGGGCTCAAATCTCAGAAAGAGGAATGCAGAGAGGTGATGGTGATCTTTATTCATCATGAAGGTCTGAAGTTACATTAACCCAGATCTACAAAGGACACTGCCTCATGCACAACCTACCTCTGTATTCCATGGCGTCCCTTCATATGGTTCCAAAAGTCTGGATCCTCAAACAGCTAAAGGAAAAGTCAAAAGGTTAGTGCTGCTCATCCAGGTGGAATCACAATGGCACCACCCCATAAACACCTTTGTGGAGGGGCTTCTGGGGACACTCTGGGCTCATCCCTCACAGAGGACTAAAATCCTGATTCTGCTGCTGATCCCAAAGGTGGTGGACCAGAGCATCAGAACAAGAGGCCACAGGGCCAGGTGTCTCTGGGACATGGCCTGGTAGGGGAAGGGACCCTGGCACTCAGTGGGGCAGAAGCAGAAGTTGTCTTTGGTCCTTACCATTTTGCTGAAGGCTGTGTCAATTACTCCTGGAACTAGGCAGTTCACCCGGATATCCTTTGGTGCCAGCTCCAATGACAGGGTCTTGGTGAGTCCCAGAATGGCTGCTTTACTGACACCGTAGGCCCCTAGCCTCTGTGAACACAAAGGGAAGTGGATGGCAAATAAGTAACTGAGGAGGAGAGTTTCTATTGGATCCCTAGGCCTGTGTGTATAAATATATCTCTTCAGCAATGCAGAGATAATTGAGAATCTCACAAAGAAAGGTTAAAAACCTGCCATGTGTGTCCTTTCTGGAGAAGGAGGGTCTGAGACACCCATTGATCAAATGTGGGTGTAGGTGTGCCCCACCAGCAATGGCCTATTCTGGGATCTTCCTGGCCCTCTCCACGTTTCTTGGCAAATGGGGCTGTTTCCTTCCTTTTCATCTAGCATCATAGAAGGTTATACTTACAGCTTCAGGTAAGTATGCCCCAATTGAGGAGACCAGAACCACAGAGCTTCCCCTGGGAAGAGAAAGATGGGATAAATACGATTGAACCACATATAAGTGAGGCAAATAGACACATCTGGGGCATGAAAGGAAGTGGAGACTGTGGACCATGAAAGTGAGTGAAAGAAATTTAGGTTCAGATTAGAGCCCGCTCCTGCCTTCCTTCAGCCTATCTCCTCTGGCCTAGACTCTAGGGCCTAGAGCATCCTGAGGACCAGGACCAAGTTTATGTTTTCATCCACACTTGGATGCTCAATCCATTAAGGAGAACTAGTATGAACACTCTTATCAAATACAGCCAACATTTGCCTTTATTCTAGACTATTGTTCTATTTACTGGCTTTGAGGGTGTTCTATACTAGGCATGCTTAAGAGTAATATTCCAAGTACTTCCCAGTGGATCCTTTGGAATCTTAATCTCAGAAGCTCCACGCCCCCCACAACCCTACCCCATAATCCTCTGGAAAAGTTTTTCTTAAGGATCCTCAGTGCTCCCTCACTCACCAAGTCTAATGACCCTTGTTCAGACCTCACTTCTCTACCCTCCAGTTTCCTTTCACATCAGATACTGTAGACTAAAATTTCCTTTCTGGAACCTGTTTGGTCCTCTTGAGAAATCTGCACTCTTGCCTCTCTTTTCCCCTTTACCTACTCATTCCCTTTCCCTCAGTATCTATTCTGTGTAGGCCCGTAAATCAAGATGCTTTCATTGTCCCGCAAGTGTTTTCTCTTCATGCTCTCTTTTAATTTAGGAAGAAGATGAAGTATGCCTAAAATAATTAAAACAATCATATAATTTTCACCTTTGTCTCCTAAATGTTGACAAAATTCCTTATCACAACATTCAAGGCTATCCATAATTTAGCAACATCCTGCTTGTCCAGCCTTGTCTCTGACCTCTTCTCTTCACTCACCCTGGATCTAAAGGTCGTTCTGTGCAACACACACAGAGCAGGGATGATGGGGAAGATAATGGAGGACATGGCTAGCCCAAGAGTAAAAAAGTTTGAGAGATAAGAGTTGAGTGGGACTTGGAAACTCTACTACCCTTATTATGGACAGGCTGCAGGGTGCCGCAGTGTCATCAACCTGGACTTTTGTGCCCTGCCCTGCTGCATGCAGCCTAAGAGAGGCCACTTTCAGTTCCCCAACTCCAGGACAGTTATGGGAACTCTGGGCCTTTCCATTTCTCTCTTCCAGTCCTTGCCGATTTCTGGGCACTCTAGAAATTGGGTATTCATGCAAGAAGACAGGATTTTTTTCTCTTTTGTGACCTAGAAATATGAAGCTAAACTTTCACTATTCTAGAGAGACCACTTGCATTCCTCTGATTCCAGGACAGGTGTGAGGATTCTGGACCTTTCTGTCTGTAGACCCCTTATTGTGCTACTAGTAGAGTCCTTGCCAGATTCCATGGGCATTCTAGCTATGAGAGAATGACACTAATGGATAGAGTCTGAAAGTCAAATTCTCACTTCTCCTGTGTTACTGGCTCAGCTAAGCCTGCTGCCCAGAAGAAAGATCTAACTCAACACCTGGCTCTTGTTTACCACCTCTGCTTCACATTTGACACTTAATGTCTCCATCCCTCTCCCCTTCCCTGCCCTCACCCCCTGTTCTCCATGTGGGGCAGCAGCTGGCTCAGCAGCAGGGCTGGGGCCTTCACATTGACATTCAATATCTGAAATCAGAGCAAATGAGGGTGGGGGAGGAGAGACATTCAGTCCAGTGCATGTTCTCACTGTATTAGCAAATACACCACATTAGAACATGGGCGTGATGGCTTCTGACAATGGGAAGTGGGGAGAGTGCTGGCTTTCTTTGACATACATGGGGGGGCGGGGGGAGGCATCCTGAAAAAGCAGGAATATGGGGATCAGGAAGCCTTTGCAGGCATAAGACCCAGAGTCTGCAGAATGTCTCCCTGTGTCTGTAAGGGTATCGGTTAGAAAAAAATGTCCCATCTGGGTCTGAGGTGGCACTGGTCAATTGAATCTGGGGAAGGCTGGTATTATAAGCTGAATCGTGTACCACCCAAACTCTATGTTAAAGTCATAACCCCTAGTACCTCATAATGTAACCTTATTTGGAACTAGAGTCATTGCAGTTGTAGTTAAAATGAGGTCATAGAATGGGCCCTAATTCAAAATGAATGGTGTTCTAAGAAGGCAAGTTTGCACGCATGTGCGTGCACACACAAATACACACTGAGAATACCATGTGAAGATGAAGGCAGAGGTTGGAGTGATGCTTTTTTCTATAAGCCAAGTAACATCAAAAATTGCCAGCAAACCACCAGTAGCTAGGGGAGTGGCATGAATAGATTCTCTCATAGCCATCAGAAGGAACAAACCCTGATGATGCCTTCTGACCTCCAAGACTGTGAGACAATAAATTCTGTGTGTAAGCCACCTGGGTTGTGGTAGTTTGTTACAGCAGCCCTCTGAAACTAATACAGCTGGATTTCAGGGTTTAAGCCTTGGACATAAAGCATTCTTAGGCAAGGAAGGGAGTCATTCCCTTCTCTGTGCCCCACATTTATTGTGATGATCTGGTTCTCTGTTGGACCTTCCCAGCAAACTGGGAGCTCATGAACAGTGGGGATCACAACTAGGGTGTAGCAAGCATGTCAAACTCGTGGTGGCTGAGAGTTTGACATGCTTGGTGTAGACACTCCTACCTCCATCTCACAGATGGGGAATTAAGGGTCAGAGTCCAGGCACCTGGCCTGCTTGGTGCCAGTGAGTCTGTGAGGGGAAGGTGTGTGGGGGCTGAGATGGAAAGAGGGTCATGTAGAGGGTGAGGATGACATCCGTCAGCCCTACCGGGTGTCCCCAGACCTCACCTTGTCCCAGACCTCCTCACTGCTCCCCAAGGTACTTCCCACGGAGGGATTGACTCCTGCCACACACACCAGGAAGTCAACATTCCCAGAATGTCTCAGGGCCTGCAAGGAGAAGGGGGAAATGAGGACCAGGGTCAGGGAGCAAAAGAAGTTTCCTGTTGCAGTGGGAGGTGTTTCCTGTTTGCTCTCCCTGGGTCTCTGCCTGGCTAAATCCAGGAGGGGACCACACCAAGTGAGGGTGGAGAGCTGTCTCTCCTCATCAGACTTAAAACATGTCTCCACCCAGATCTGTAAACCTGTTCAGGCTCTGGAGTAACCAATGCCAAGCACATGGTCAGCCTTCATTCCTGCGCTTGTTCGCTTGTTCATTTGACCAGGTTATGTTTTAAAATAACCACTCTTCCTCTTTCTACCTCCAAACCCTACCCATCTCCTCACCGTGGCCACCAGCCGGTCTCGGTCCTCAGCCTTCCCCACATGGCACACGGTGCCAGACATGCTCAGCCCCTCCCCCTGCAGCGCTGCCAGTGCCTGGTCCACGTTCTGCTGCTTCCGGCTGCTGACCACCACATGGGCCCCGTCCTGGGCCAGACGCCGGGCGATGGCGAAGCCAATCCTGAGGGCAGAGATGGCTATGACGGCTTCAGCCCTCCCCATCCTCCTCCTGGGAGGCTGATCATGAGACACAAATTGAGTTCCACAGTGTGGTTCAAGAACTGCCTCCAAACTTTTGAGTGGGAAAGAGGAACTATTGAACATTTTCTATATATCAGGCCTTCACCAAGACTAACCCAGTTAATTCTCACAACTATATGTACAATAATCATATGGATGAGAAAATTTTCATAACAATTTAATTGAAGGGAATTTAAAAAAAGTAATGATCCTTCAGAACACGTGTACATGTGCGGGGCATCCAGAGTGAATGGTAGAGAATCTTTAACTGCCCAGTGTTTTCTCCCTTGGTGCTAGCCCAGGGGTGGGCAAACTTTTTGACTCGAGGGCCACAATGGGTTCTTAAACGGGACCGGAGGGCCGGAACAAAAGCATGGATGGAGTGTTTGTGTGAACTAATATAAATTCAAAGTAAACATCATTACATAAAAGGGTACGGTCTTTTTTTTTTTTTTAGTTTTATTCATTTCAAACGGGCCGGATCCGGCCCGCGGGCCATAGTTTGCCCACGGCTGTTCTAGCCAGAGGCCTCTGGTGTAAATTGCACTTTCTATAAGCCTTAAAGTTTTTGTCTGTCCTGCAATTTAAAAACTTTGATGCTGAGACCATGTTCTGCCTCCATTCTCCGTCTTCTTACTTTAAGGAGGTCTGAAGCACACTTGACTTGGGCTGGTTGAGTACCTGTGATCAAGGGCAGAAGGCATATGACCCTTCTCTTATAGAAACTGCTAGGGCAACATAGAGTTTTGAATTACTCATTTGTGATGAGGGCTGGGCATTGGGGACACGCAGATTTAAAACCTCATTGGGGCCCAGCCAGTTTTGCTCAGTAGTGAGCATTGACCTATGTACCAGGAGGTTATGATTCGATTCCTGGTCAGGACACATTTCTGGGTTGCTGGCTGGAACCCCATTAGGGGACGTGCAGGAAGCAGCCAATCAATGATTCTCATCATTGATGTTTTTATCTTTCCTTCTCCCTTCCTCTCTCTGAAATCAATAAAAACATATTAAAAAAATAAAACATCATGGTGATGTGGAAGTCTTGGATATTAACAGTTCTAAAATAAAGCGATCTAAATTTGACCATGAAAGGTCAAAAGGAAGACAGAGCCCCTGAACACCAGAATTCCCCCCTCCTGCCTGTGGTAATGACTCACTAAAGACTGTGGCCCATTATGGCAGTTAGAGGATGAGTGGAATTGGAGGTACATAAGAAGAGATGTGACCAGGAGAGGGTCATCTATTGAGCTCTCTGAGCTGATCTTGAGACATTGCCTTGCCCAGTGCCCTACTGCCAGGGAACACTCTGCAGTCAATGGAATGCCTAAGTCTGAGAGACCAATAGGTCTCTGGCTTCTCCCTATTAGACCAGGACCCTAAAAGCCCATGGCCACGTGCCCATGAAGGATGGGGAGAGAGCTGTCCTGATGATGATAAGTTAAATACCTGAGGGTTACCCAGCCAGTCAGTGGCAGAGACTAGATTCAAACACTGCTCTGAATGAACCAGAAGCAGTTGATTTTCCAAGTCTATCATTCTTGGAACTTAGAAACGGGATGTTTTAGGAAGACACACTGAGTTGGGGTTAATGATAAACGCCAGAGCTGTGTAATGAGATGCGGGTGTCAGGAAGGATGTGTGAGAAGGACATCCCCTGCCCTGGGATGGGACTCTAAATCTGTTCATTACATGGACTCCCATTCGCTCACCCGCTTGTGGACCCAGTGACCACAGCTACTTTCCCAGCCAGTGGACGGCTTCTATCTGCTGTTTTGCTGCTCATTCTTGCTGAGAGAAGGACTGAGGAGCATTGAAGACCCTTAAAGGCCCAAGACGTGGCCCTGAACATGCTAGTCATTGTCTGGCCTCCGGCCTCCTGGACTCAAAGCTGGGGAAGAACCTGGGAAGACAATCACCATGAACCATGTTAGAATCTGACTCCACCCATCCTTCGTGGGAGGGTTCCACTGAAGTCTCTGATAGGTGTCCTACCATCCTTTAAACTTACCAGGAAAGCACAGAGCTGCTCATGTCCTTTCCATGACCAGTTCCCCAAATGGGCTTCCCTGCAATGCTCGGTCCCTGGTAGATGCCTGAGTGATACTTGCCTGACTCACCTCCACACCCCCAAACAAAGAATATCACTGTGGGCTTCTGAGAGTCACCTTTGTACTTCTCTCCATACATCTATTCTTCCACAAAAAAATTGCATTGGCCTTTCTTCTTATCTTTCCCCAGCCTGTTGCAACTACCCCAGTCCAAGTTCTTGTCACCTTCCCCACCTGCTGCAAACTCCTCTTCCTTCAGCTCCTCACCTGAAGCAACAGCAATTGTCCCCTCATCAGATATACCCGATGTGTCAGCATTTCTGGGAGGCAAGTTGTTTTCCCACATCGCAAATGACTCTGATCCAACTGAGATAAAAGTCCAGCCACTCCCCCTTTGTTTAAAAATCTTTCATAGGGCCTATACCTCACATCTCTTGAACTCCAGGCCATATTGTCCATCTCCACCTGCCCAAAGATCCTATGGCACCTGTTTCATTGTAACTGTTTCAGCAATACCTCATTTCTTCAGTAACTTTCTCTAAACCCACACCTTTCATCCCAAACCTTCCCTCCATCTTATGGGGAGATCAAGGAACAATAGTTGTCTTGGGTTGGCTACCTCAGAATCACACTAAAAAATCAAATAGTTTTTTTGGAAATGGCCTTGGGAAGCAATGTTAGGGGAGTGGAAGGAGTGAGACAGAAGGGAAGGTAGCCCATAAATGGTACATTATCAAGTGAGTTATGTCTATTGGTAACTGAAGGTGAATCTTTTTGAGGAACTCTGAGCAATAGTTTTGTTTCCTAATTCTCACCTGAGGATATGTTTATTGATTTTAGAGAGAAAGGAAGGGAGAGTGAGAGTGAAAGAATGAGAGAGAGAGAGAGAGAGAGAGAGAGAGAGAGAGAGAGAGAGAGAAATGGATGTGAGAGAGAAACATCAATTGATTGATTGATCCCCATATGGGCCCTGAACTGGGATTGAATTTGCAATCTTTTGATGTATGGGATGGTGCTTCAATCAACCGAGCTACCTGGCTAGGGAGGACAAGGGACTGGACTTAGGGTGACCAAGAATCCCTGTTTCTAGGACTGCAGGTTTTAGCACTGAAAGGCCCACATTCCAGCAAATTACTAAGTCCTAGACAAACCAGACAGTCGGTTACCAGCACAGGGGTACATCCAACTCCTGTCAGTCACTAGTTGAGGACTGCTCCTGGGGTGGAACAAAGAGGTGACCAGCAGAGACAGAGCAGAGGGCCTAGGTAAGGTGGGATGGTGTGGAAACACCATGGGAATTTGGACTTTCTCTTATGAGGGAAAAAAGCTTGTGGAGGTTTTTACAAAATGGTATTTTGACATAAATAAATGATGATCACACTCAGGGAGCCATAAACTTTATTCTAGGCCCTCATGACTAAAATAGCCAATCATTGTTTCTCTAGTGTTCATTTTTTTGTCTTAATCTTTATTCCATTTTCTGAGTGATCTATCCAAGTTTATAAAGCTGTTGCACAATATGGAAAGCTAACCTAACCCTTACCAGGAACAAATCATAGGGCTCTGAAAATAGACAAGTTCACATCTGTATTCAACATAAAAGCTTTAAACAACCATGCACTTACTAGCTAAATCTCTGGGTTTCCAAGCAAGTTCAATGCTGTTGATCTCAAGAAATGTTATGGACTGAATTGTGTCCTCCTGCCCCTAGGTTCATATGTTGAAGCCCTAATCTCTACAGCTTCAGAGTGTATTTGAGACGGGACCTTTAAAGATGTGAATAAATTCACCTAAAAAATTTTACATATAAAAACAGATTTACGAATAAGGACCTTTATTATCCAATTTGTAATAGTTGAAAAAATAGATAAACTTAAATGCTGAATATGGGATGCATGTTACTTGATGGAATATATGTAGCCATTAAAAAGGGTGTTCATAAGTAGTTTGTAACAATACTGAAATGTTTTTGTTAAAATGCTAACTGAAAAATCATGACACAAATTTATATACAGCATGGCTGAAATTATATTAGTATAAATGTCTAAATAGAAAAATATGGTAAATAAGCCTGAAAATAAATAAGCTGTGATGGAATAAAAGTGATAGATTAAATATGTACTTCAACCTTCTCTTCTTCTCCTTCACCACTAAAAGATACTTTTTAAAAAAGGAAGAAAGGGAACAAAACCAAAGCAATACAGTAAAAAAAAAAGCACAAAAAACTTTATGAAAATTAAGGATTGAGAAATTCTTGCAAGATAGATAGAGTTAACTTTCTACAGAAAGCTCCAGTTCAAAACACGTGCATGGGAGAACAGCAGTAAAAGGTGAGAGCAGCTGTAGGTGCCCCAAAGCTCAGAGGCAACAGATAGAAAGAGTAGGAGGGGCCTGGGTAATTGTCAGAACAGGGTACTTGCATTTGGAGGAGCCTAGGCCAGTGGTCGGCAAACTCATTAGTCAGCAGAGCCAAATATCAATAGTACAACGATTGAAATTTCTTTTGAGAGCCAAATTTTTTAAACTTAAACTATATAGGTAGGCACATTGTTATTAACTTAATTAGGGTACTCCCAAGGCTTAGGAAGAGCCACACTCAAGGGGCCAAAGAGCCACATGTGGCTCGAGAGCCAGTTTGCCGATCACGGTTCTAGGGTATTAGGGATCATAGTGTGATACCATTTAAGTCATAGGTGCTGAAAATCACACTCTTTTCTGGTACTAATGGGCAATCAAATTGAGATAATATCATCTTGAACAGTTTGCCGACCACGGGCCTAGGCCATTAGAACTCTTCTCTGAATCACTGCCATTTTGTCAAGCACCCCCTGAGTAAGAGTATCAGCCCCTGGGAAGGTAACCACAAAAAAAAATCAGAAGAAAGTTGGATTAGCCCAGCCACTGTGGCTCAGTGGTTGAGCATCGACCTATGAACTAGGAGGTCATAGTTTGATACCTGGTCAGGGCTCATGCCTGGGTTGTGGGCTTGATCCCCAATAGGGCGTGTGCAGGAGGCAGCCGATCAATGATTCTTTCTCATCATTGATGTTTTTTTCTCTCTCCCCCTCTCCCTTCTTCTCTCTGAAATCAATTAAAAAATATGTATTTTTTAAAAAAGCTTGGATTAATACAATAAAAGGAAGAAAAGAAGAAAAAACAGCATAATGAAAAACACAAAATAAGATTTCAGGAATAAGTCCAAATGTACATGAATGTTCATAATAAATGCAAATGGATTAAGTTAACATACTAAAAGATGGAGTCTCTCAAATGAAATCTTTTAATAACCCAGTTAAATTTAATTCACAACAGACACGGGGGGGGGGAACAGCTTGGGAAAACAGGTGTGGGCACACGCGTGATGCAGTGACTATGCAGAGGGTGTGTTGGGCCGGGGTAAGGTTGGCTCTGCCTGGGGTTTCATCCACCTGCTATATAATGCATGACTTATAAAGATCCTTAAAACCCTGCCTGTTGTTGCTCAATGGTTGAGTATTGACCCATGAATCAGGAGGTCAGGGCTCAATTCCTGGGCAGAGCACATGTGCAGGTTGCTGGCTGGATCCCCAGTAGGGGGCGTGCAGGAGGCAGCTGATCAATGATTCTCTCTCATCATTGATGTCTCTATCTCTCCCTCTTCCTTTCCCTCTCTGAAATCAATAAAAACATATTTTTAAAAAAAGATCCTTAGAAAGAAAGACTATGAAAAAATCAGAATTTATCAGTGCCTCTGCAGAATCTATACTAATAAAAGAGTAATATGCTAATTAGACCAGGACACCTTCCAGAGACTTTCTTGACATCCTTCCGGACAAAGCCGGGGGCTTGGCCGGCCTGCTAACTGCCCCCAAATGACCCAATGGGGACTCGGCCAGCCTGCAAATGGCCATCAGCCCCTTGCCCAGGCTGGCTATGCCTCCCAATGGGGACCCTCACCCCGATGGGGGCATGGCCAGCTTGCAAACAGCCGTCAGCCCCTTACCCAGGCTGGTCATGCCCCCCAATGGGGACTCCCACCCCAAAGGGTGTGTGGCCAGCCTGAAAATGGCCCTCAGCCCTCACCCAGGCTGGCCACATCCCCCAGCAGGGACCCCCACCCCAATGGGGGTGTGGCTGGCCTGCAAATCACCCCAGGCCCCTCGCCCAGGCTGGCCCTGCCCCCCAAGGGGACCCCCACCCTGATCCGGATCCCCTTCTGGGCAGACCAGCCGGCCCTTACCTGTGCACTAGGCCTCTATCTATACTAATAAAAGGGTAATATGCTAATTAGACTGGGAGACCTTCTGGACAAAGCCATGGTGGCGGAGCTGAGGCAGAGGCGGTTAGGGGAGATCAGGCCAGAAGGGGAGGGAAGTTGGGGGTGATCAGGCTGGCAGGGGGGAGGCAGTTGGGGAAGATCAGGCCGGCAGGGGGGTGGCAGGTGGGAGTGAGCAGGCCAGCAGGCAGAGTGGTTAGGGGGTGATCAGGCTGGCAGGCAGAAGTGGTTAGGGGCAATTAGGCAGGCAGGCAGGAGAGTGGTTGGGAGCCAGCAGTCCCGGATTGTGAGAGGGATTTCTCACTCCCAGTTTAGCCCTTATTCTGGGGAACATCCCCCGAGGGTTCCAAGATGGGAGAGGGTCCAGGCTGGGTGAAGGAACATCCCCCCCCCCCCCCCCCAGTGCACAAATTTTGTGCACTGGGGCTCTAGTTATCTAATAAGAAATTGAAACGAAAGAAGTTATCTAAATAAAAATAGGTCCTGGTGGAAAAATCCTATATAACAAAGAGGTAATATGCAAATTGACCATCATGCCCTCACAAAGATAGCTGCCTATGACCAGGCCGGCAGGGGTGTTAGTGAGGGATGACCAAA